AGTTTCATTTACATCAAACAAAAGATAAATTCTTTCTTAAGTTATAAGGCCATGAATACTAACTTAGTTACATTTCCACAACTATGAATTTACATAGGATGGTCAAAATATAAAATAGCAAACAACCTTCTAACAACTTTCAAGCTTGAGGTGGATTGTTGTCCACTAGTTCATTTCCAAGACCTGAAAAAAAATAATATAAATAGTAGGGTGAGCATAAAGCTCAGCAGGTGACACTTAAGACACATATCTTGTGTCCTTGTGAATCCAAACAAAGCATAGGCCAATGGGAAATGGGGATCATATAATGTCGGGAAATAATACAGCATAACGATTTAATCTCAAGTATATCCAATGCAATGCAATAAGATGCAATGCATGCTAGTGTCGCTCCCCATTTTCATAATCTAAAACATTGTTTCTAAACTGTTAATATAGCCCACCCTTTGGTAGCCCCACCACGACACGAGAGGAGGATTGGCTAGTGTCCCTGACCCTTGGTAACCCCGCGGCGTCCTTATGAGGCCCAACTAGCTCAACCACGCTAGGGCGACTCCCTAGTCCCCTCTAGGCTATATTAACCTCCGGCCCGTTGGTAACCCCGCAGTGACCGGGTTTCACATAAAACCATTTCATCAAAAACACTTCCCTGAAATTCCCCATATTTATTTCAAGAACAATTTCCCCCATTTCATGCAAACCCAATGGTATGTGCATGTATATATGTTCCATACATTCATTGTCATGGCATTTAAAATTCTACACCACAAAATTAAACATTCAACATGTTCAACATCTCCCAAGTAATTATTAACACATTAAGATACAACAAAATACATTTAAGCATGCTTTACACATAAAACAACTCACATTCATACACATGAATTTCTCTAGACAACATTTAAAATAATTATTGATACAATTAACTTCTAATTAAGCATGCTTGGCACAACAAAGGAGTATAACTCACAATGGAACAAGAAGGTAGTGGATTAAGGTGTCCCTACCTCAAATTTACACAAAACCCTTAAAATGGGTATTAAATTTCAAACTCCAAGGATGGCACCAAATCTGGAATTGTTCATATGGATGCGTAGAGCTCGTAGTGGGCTTCGTTTTGCCTCAAACGGCACCTTAATCCACCAAGAATTAAGAGAGAAATCAAGATTTGAAGTTGTAAAAGAAAAAGAAAAAAGAAAATACAGAGGCAGCGAGAGAGAGTGACTAAAGCTGGCCAAGAGAGAGTAGATTGAAAAATAAATGGGTCTATAATGGCCCTTATATCACAGGTGGGCCCCACAGTGGAAAAGTCATTGTTTACTAATTACACATATAGATAAAGTCAAAAACTTTACATTCTCCCCAACTTTAAAAAGATTTCGTCCTCGAAATCAAGACATACCTGAGGAAGAAAACAACGCTGGGTACTTTGAGCGAACCTCCTATTTAAGCTCCTAAGTAGCTTCTTCGACTCCGTGGTGTCTCCAAAGAACTTTCACCATTGGTATCATCTTGTTCCTCAACACCTTCTGTTGTATGTCAAGAATCTGAACTGGTCCTTCCTTGTAGGAAGCATCCTCATCAATGTCTATATCAACCCAACTCAAAATGTGAGATAATCTGGCTCGTACTTCCGTAACATTGATACATGGAAAACATTGTGGACCCTATCCAACTGTGGCAGCAAAGCAAGTCTATAGGCAACCTCTCCTACTCGGTCCAAAATCTCAAATGGTCCAATGAATCGTGGCGACAACTTGCCACTTTTCCCAAATCTCATCAATCCTTTCCATGGAAAAACTCGCAGAAAAACATGGTCTCCCACCACAAAGGATAACGGCCGTCTCCGCTTATCTGCATAGCTCTTCTGTCGACTCTGAGCTATAAGTAACCTTCATCTTATCAGCTTAATTTTCTCGGTAGTCTCGAGTACAATGTCAGGTCCTAAGGTGACTGTCTCACCTACCTCAGTCCAACAAACAGGAGACCTACAAGGTCTACCATACAACACCTCAAATGGAGCCATCTGAATGCTCGCCTGATAACTGTTGTTGTAGGCAAACTAAATAAGTGAAAGGTGATCCTCCCAACTACCACCCAAATCAAGCACACATGCCCGAAGCATATCCTCTAAAATCTGTATAGTACGCTCTGACTGACCGTCAGTCTGTGGATGGAATGCCGTACTCAGATGCAACGTTGAGCCAAACGCTGCTTGAAGTCCTTCCCAGAACTTCGAAGTGAACTTAGTATCCCTATCTGAAACAATGGTTACTAGAACTCCATGCAACCTAACAATCTCCTTCACATAAAGAACACCAAGCTTCTCTGCATCATCTGTTGCCTTAATAGGCAAAAAGTGAGCCGTCTTGGTCAATCTGTCAATGATGACCCATACGGCCTCATTGCCCCTCCGTGACCTTGGAAGACCTGTCACAAAATCCATAGCGATATGTTCCCATTTCCACTGCGCTACAGGCAATGGTTGCAATAAACCGGCTGGTCTCTGATGCTCAGCCTTCACCTACTGACAGGTAAGGCATCTAGCCACAAACTGTGCGACATCTTTCTTCATCCCGTTCCACCAATACTAACGTCTCAAATTGTGATACATCTTGGTACCACCTCGATGAACTGCAAAGCGGGAAGTGTGAAACTCCCGTAAGACGTCCTCACGATAGCCTGTGGAAACTACCAACAAACCCTTAAACCGTAGACCCCCATCTGCATGCAAGGCCCAATCTTTCACTGTCTCACCACTGGAGATCAAAGTGTGAATGGCATCTAAATCTGGGTCCTGTCTTTATGACTCAATCACTCGTACAACAAGAGTAGGCTGAGCCACAAGACTAAACAAGAATGCTCACTCACTATCAACATCATCATCAAAACAATACAATCCCATCTCTGCCAAATCCTTAAGCATCTTCCATTTCCGAATAGCCAGACTAGCCAAAGTTCCACGGGATTTCCGATTTAAGGCATCTGCTACCACATTTGCCTTGCCTGGATGATACTGTAAGTCAAAATTATAGTCTTCCAAGTACTTAACCCATCGTCTCTGCCTGTTGTTCAAGTCCCTTTGGGAGAAAAGGTACTTGAGACTCTTATGATCCGAGTATACCTCGAATCTCTCTCCATATAAGTAGTGTCTCCAACACTTCAAAGCAAACACAACTGCCGCCAACTCCAGATCATGAGTAGGATAGTTGTACTCGTGAGTCTTCAACTGCCGAGACCCATAAGCCACTACTCTACCATCCTGCATCAACACACACCCTAAACCATCACATGCAGCATCACAATAGATCACATAACCCAAGCCACGCTCAGGTATCACTATCACTGGAGCCGTAGTCAACCTTGTCTTCAATTCCTGAAAGGATGACTCACAGGCTTCATTCCATGCAAACTTAATCCCCTTCCGGGTCAAACGGGTCATAGGCGCTGCCAAGCGAGAAAAATCCTTCACAAATCTTCTGTAGTAACCCGCTAAACCAAGAAAACTCCGAATCTCAAAAACATTCTTGGGTTGCTCCCAATTCAAAACTACTTCAACCTTTGATGGATCCACTGACACTCCACCTTCTGAAACAACATGCCCCAAAAACTTCACCTCATGTAGCCAAAACTCACATTTCTCATATTTGGCATACAATTGATACTCCCGCAAAATCTGTAAAACAATACTTAAATGGACCTCGTGCTCCTCCTGAGTCTGTGAATACAAAAGAATGTCATCCACGAAAACTACCACAAACTGGTCCAAGTAATCGTGAAAGACGCAGTTCATTAAGTCCATGAATGCCGCTGCCGCATTAGTCAAGCCAAAAGGCATAACAAGGAACTTATAGTGTCCATACCATGTACGGAATGCTATCTTCGGGATATCCTCATCCCTAACCCGCAACTGATAATAGCCAGACCTCAAGTTAATCTTCGAGAAACAACTGGCTCTCCTCAACTGATCAAATAAATCATATATCCTTGGCAAAGGATACTTATTCTAGATGGTGGCACGATTTAACTTCCGGTAATCAATGCACAACCTCAAAGAACCATCTTTCTTCTTAGCAGATAAGATCGGTGAGCCCTATGGTGACACACTCAGTCGGATGAAACCCTTCATCCTTAAATCAGCAAGCTGCCTTTAATTCTTCTAATTCAACTGGTGCCATATGATACGGTGCCATAGAAATCAACATGGTACCTGGCATTAACTCAATAGAGAACTCCACTTCTCGGTGTGGAGGCAACTCTATCAAATCCTCCGGAAACACATCTAGAAAATCACAAACAACTGAAAGATAATCCTCTTTCACAACATCATCTTCTTTGGCTATAAGGCTAGCCAAGAAGTAATCACCACGACTCCGTCCATGAATTCCATAAAACAATAAAATGTGGGAATCACTCCGATCTCCCACAAAAAAGAAACAGTCTCCCTCGGGAGTACAAATTGTAACCGTTCCTCAGTAATAGTCGATCGTGGCATGAAAGGAAGCTAACCAATCCATCCCGAGAATGACATCAAAGCTAGTCATCTCTAGGAGGATAAGGTCAAACACAAAAGTCCGCCCGGCTATCATAATGGAACAGTCCCTCACGACTCGGCTCAAAGACACTAAAACTCCAACTGGCGTATCAACACACAATGCCCGATCCATAACACTGACCTCTAACCTCGATGCAAGTGCAAATGATGATGAAATGAAAGAATGAGATGCACCAGAATCAAACAAAACACGGGCCCAAGAACCAAACACTGGAAATATACCTCGGAGAACATAAGATCCAGGAGATACATCAGTCGGTACAAGGGCAAAGACACGCCTCTGCGGTGGTTGTGCCTGTGAACTACTAATCTAAACACCAGACTATTGTGCCGACATAGTAGGAGTATCCCTCCTAGCTGGTCGTGAACCCTGAGAAGACAAGGCAGGCTATGGTGGTGGCGGTGGTCTAAAACCTGATTGAACCGTAGCCGATTGTGACGGCCTCTACCGTGACCCTCTGCCACTAGTGGTGCTTGTTCCCTGACTCGGACAGTCCCGAATCAAATGGCCCTGTTGGCCACACCCATAACAAGCCTTCGGAGTTGAAGAAACTGAAATCAATCTCATGGGACAATTGGACTTGTAATGTCCAGGCTGCTGGCACTGAAAGCAAACAACTGCACCCCTATCAGACCCAGCTGGCAACAGAGTGGTATGAGCAGATCGTGCAGACTGCTGCCCCTGAAACTGAAATGAACCACTCTTGTTCCTCTTCCAAGAAGATCCCTTTGAAGATGGCCCTATACCCCTTTTTTGCTTCAACTGCTCTCTTCTTGCATCCTTCTCTTTATTATCAGCCTCTAGCATCAAAGCCCTTTCCACTGCTTCAGAAAAAAACCTTAACGAACTGTGCCGTGATCAATGGCCTCATCCGATCATTAAGACCAGAAACAAACTTCCGAGTCTTGTTAACTTCATCTCTCACCATTTCTGGAGCAAAGCGAGAAAGTAAAGTGAACTTGTTCTCATATTCCGCCACTGACATGCTCCCTTGAATAAGATTATGAAACTGGTCTTGTAACTCCCATCTTTTGGAAAGCGGAAAGTACTTTTCATAAAACAATTCCTTGAACTTATCCGAACTCATCTACTTCACCTTATACCAGCTCGTAACCGACTTCCACCATAATTTGGCATCCTTAGCAAACTTATAAGTAGCTAGGATGATCTTCAAATGATCCTCCATCATATCCATTGAAATCAATTGAGTTTCAACTTGCTCCATGTAGTCATCTGCTATCATTGGATCCGCACCGGCCTCAAACATAACCAGCATCAATTGAGAAAACCCCTTAATAATCTTGAGACGCTTCTGAGCTGGCATCTCCTCAACTTGAACGGTAGGCGGGCCTCGCCCTTTATGTTGAAGGTCCCGATCAGCTTACCTTAGTGGACATTGTGGGAGAAATTTGTCCAGGTCAATTCACCAGAAATAGAACCATAAGCACCAATAAATCTTTTTTACCATGCCGGCTATGGTTTCTCGATTCGGTCTTGGCCAAGAACGTCCTACCCGTGCCAGGCCATTCTGAGCCCAAAGGGGATTTTCTGAAAACCCTCTACTATGCTGAAATAGAGTGTTGGTTTTGTGTCCCACAGCTTGTCTGGGACCAATTGCTAAAAATCTATAATGAATTAATCTTGGTTTGGTCGCGCACCACCACCACCTGGGCATTCCCATTTCAATACCTTATTACAAGGTTGCTCAAAAATGCGGGGTTCTGAGCTCCCCAGGGTGAGCAGAAAGAGAAAGATATGTTGAACTTCAACCTTGGGGTATGGAAGTCTAGCACAGCTCAGCTTCAGACGTCCCGTCAGGCCCGCATTGGTGACGAGTTGGATTGGGGTGCTCCGACCCCCCCTGTGGCTCCTGCTCCTCCTGCTCCTGATGCCCCCGCTTCTCCAGCTGCCCCTTTTGTCCTGCCGCCGGATGTCATGACTCACGCCGACTATCTCGCCTTAAATGCTCGTCTCGGTGCCTTTTCCTTGCGCTTTGATGCTATAGAGGGTGCCGTCCAGAAGACACAGGAGAATCAAGAGATTCTGCAGGCTATGCTCCAGTCATTAATTGACCGTGCACCTGGCCCACCTGGTGCTTCCTCCTCTACTCCAATGGTGGAGTGACTTATGTTTTTCATTTTATTTCCCTTTTCAGTAGTAATTTTTAGACTTATTTTGGGCCGCGTTTGGCATTTGCTTTTCAGTTTTTCTTTTGCACTTATAACTGTATCACTTTTGCTACTTTGCATGGCTTATAGTTTTTAGTCGAATAAATTGCAGTTATTTTCATTGAATTTGGATTTATATGATTCGTGCCTTGTATAGATATCTTTTGACAGGTTTTTGAAACCAAGTTTGGGGGCATGCTCCTGGAATTCACGAGCTGGCCTATATTTGCACCGCCACTCCAATCCTCTCAACTTGGTACTATTGTTTCTTTCCCCCTTTGTTCACTCTCTTTGCTTGTCCCCTGTTTTCTCATATTGGGGACAATGTAACATTCAAGTTTGGGGGTGCACGTGCATGCTATTACATTTTCGGTGCATGAGCATGTTATTGCAGTTTTGATATTTTTGCTCATTTGATATTTTTGCTCATTTTTTATGCTCGTAAGTTAATAAAATCATATTGTTTAAAGGGAACTTTTTGAAGGATGAAGCATGTGCTTAATACTTTGTGTATAGAAGCCAATTAAACATGTTGATTCATAATCGGTTTGTATAAAAACTTCAATTAAATTTTCGTCGGATTTCATACTCTGTTATGCTTTACATTGCACATTTGCACACTGGAAACTTAATTGTGAGGTATGCAACCCAAAATTAACCCTGATCGGGACTCAGTGATCTAAATTAATGACCCTAATGAATGGATATCCTTGGCATAAGTTAAAAAATAAAAAATAAAAATAAATAAAAATAAAAATAAAAATAAAAAAAATCAATGACCAGTCGAAGTTCGTAACCTTTCCAACTCGAGTTATTAAACTCTAGGAGTGTTTCTACATTTAGCCCCCTAAAGCTATCTGGCTTGGGAGTTGTTGGCCTAACACTTGTTACATGGGTTGGTTAGAAAGCTTAAAGAACTTAGACATTGCACGGTTGTTCAAAAATAAATAAAGATAGTTCGTCGAAATTCGTAGCCTTTCTAATTCAAGTTATTAAGCCCTAGGAGTGTCTTTACACTTAGCGCCCTAAAGCTATTTGGCTTGGGAGTTATTGGCCCAACACTTGCTACGTGGGTTGGTTAGAAAGCTTAATGGATTCTTGACATTGCACGACCATAATAGGTGATCTTTTGAGTTGATCAATAAAATTGTCAATAAGCAACAAAAGTTGTTCAGTTAATAAAGTTATGCCTTGGAGACCTCATTTAGAAGGAGATTTAAGGATGTGAAAATGTGTTCTTGAGATTGGAAAAAAAGGTAAAAGCCACATATTAGGAAGCCGGCTCACTTTCACTGAAGTTAGAGTTCAAGTTATTCAAGAGATGACAATTGAAGTGTTTATATAGACCTTGATGATTGATGCATTTGAGTTGAACTTGTTTTGTCATTTTGTGTTAAGGCTTCATATATGCAAGGTAGTATGCCTAATGTCTATCTTCAAAATTTTCTGTGTACCAAATCATAGTTGAGCTTCGTCGATATTTTTGTTTCATGATTGATGCATGTGTTAGCATTTCATTGGTCGTCATTTGCATTAAGCTCTTTGGCTTGTTTTGCTAAGGGACTAGCAAAATGTAAGTTTGGGGGTGTGATAAGCGCCGAATATTACATATTCAAGCACCCTTTCTTGCATTAGTTAAGTCCATTATTAGAGGATAATGTACAATTTTAATTCAGTTATATATTTCTTTCTGATTTCAGGTATTTTTCCCAAGAATGATCAAAGAAGCGGTTTTGACAACTTTCTATTGAAATACGTGCGCCGTGTCGGGGAGTCATCTTCGGGACCTAACCTCTTCAGTCGCCGTTTTTGTGAAGTTCATGGCTTAGTGTTCATAGTGGAAGTGTGTCTTCGCTCCAGCCTAAAGAAGCTTGCATAAAAAATAAGCTTGGAGGAAGTGCAGGTGCAAGGCCCCGTGGGCGCCCGCCACGCCATCGCGGGCGCCCACCAATCCCTCACACTCTCTGCCAACTTCCGCGGGCCCTTGATCAGCGCCTGCGAGCCACCGCGAGTGCCCACCGCGCCGTCGCGGGCACCCGCCAAACACGCCAGTGCATTCGTCGATTTTGCAAGCTACCGTGGGCGCCCGCCGATCTGCAGTAGGCAGCTCAATTACCCCTGAATTTCAGCATCTTGGTCCCCTTATCCTTCTTTTGTATGGTCTAGCTTCATGCAGAGGGGGGAGCTCGGGATTTTGAGTATAGGGAGTTGGTTTTGAGTGTATATAAAGAGTGGAAGCTCATTATTTTGGGATATCTCATATTTTTGGTTAAGTTCTAGAGAGAAAAAGTAGCATTCTTGAGGGGTTTGGAGTTCTAGCTTGTTGGAGGGTGAAAATGAAGTTCTTCTTCATCTCTTCCTCTCCCTTCATTGCTCCTATGGGTAACTAATCCCTATCTAGGGAGGTGATGAAGCCCATTTTGTAAGCATTGCTATGTTTTGATTTATATTTGGGGTATAATGTATATATGTAACTTTTCCATGAACTAGAGCACTTTATATGATGCAATGAATTTCATTATCTATAAATGGTCATTTTGAGTTAAATATCTTGTCTTAGATTGTTTTTCTCTCATAACTATATTGCTACATTTTCATAGTGACAATGGAGATGAGTTCATGAAAGTGATTTTATTGGCATGATATTTGGGAATGTTGATAATCTATTGCTTAGGGCTTTCCTTTGATAGATTCTTCTTGATTACTATTTCATGTGCTTTTATTATGAGAATATGGGCTTGATAATCTATGGCTTGGTGATCATGTCTAAGGTTGCATCCTAGTTTAGGTGACCAAAACATGTAGTGTCTTGATAGGTTATTCGTGTATCTTGTTTTCATATATTTCTTGAAGATAATGTATCAATGCTATGTTGTTGCATTCCATGGTTATATATATATATATATATATATATTTCCCCAAGTAAATCATTTCCTAGCATACCTATTGATGGGTAGTGGATTCACTTCCCTAGTTCCCATTTTAATTGTCTTTGTCTCTTTACTTCTTAGCATTAATGTTTTATACACCTTTCAATTCATAATCTTAGTAACAATCCAACAAATCCTCTATAACCCCTTTATCATTAGAAAAATTACTCTAGACACCTAAGTTGCCATAAACTAGTAGTCTCAGTGGTTGGACTTACCCGACCAATAGCCCTATTTTACAATGATTTGTGCTATTGCAAAGGTTGATGTATAATTGACAACCGGTCAGTTACCAAACATGGTTCCGATTTCTACTAAAAACATACCAATACCAAAACGGTTGTTTTCATATCATACCAAACCATAACATATAGCATTATCGCGATCCAAACGAACCCTTAACTTTTTTTTCTAGTTGATACTCACACATATGTGTTTTTCGAGATTTGAACCCTGACCTCCCTTGAGAAATAAGAAACTGATACCGTTAGGCCACTGATCCGTTGGTGAAATGCCTTAACTACCAAGCAAATGGCATCCATAGAAGCTGGTTGCCGGCCTCTGAAGTCGACAAACCGATGTAATAGTTAATAAACAAGCATATTAAAATAATCAAGTTTATTCCATGGTCAAAAGTTCAAAACTGAAATTGCAATTCATGACACTGAAAAAACATATATATTTCTAAAATGGCAGCTGACTGTAGCTGTGTATTAAAGTCCCTAAATTCTATCAATATATTAAAAATTGTAATCTACCTCCCTAGATTGAGCAATCACATATCGCAAGAGGTGGGAACTTGTGGACAGCCTTTCAATAGTTTCTGCGTATGAGCATTTACCCAAATTCACTTAGAATAATGGTAATCGAACACCGTTCACGATTGCAAGCCATATCTTGGACGGATGAGCAGATTAATTTATTTCTGAAGATTCTGTTGTTTCTTTCCATCCAAAAATGATACATAAAGCTCGGCTATTTCTGAAGATTCTGTTGTTTCTCTCCATCCAAACATGATTCACAGCCAGCCAAGGTAAGCACTTCCATGTTAAAACTCTTCTAGCTTTCAATTTTTGTTTCTAATTGGATGATGCCATATAAGGAAGTCATTCCATGAATATGGGAGTGTGTGGTATCCACAATTTTTATGAATCTTTTGCCAAATGAACTTCTGAGTATGGGCAGTGAATGAAAATGTGGTCATGACTTTCAGCAACATTGGCAAATAAAAACTGTGAGATAAAAACTGTGAGAATGAAAGATTGGCGGGGAATAATGGGGGAGCTCCACACCGAAGAAGCCCAATTGAATGAGGGATATGGTCCGGAGCACAGACTCTGGGCGATCAATAGAGGGTGGTGGAATGGTTTGAAGCTCAGGAACTAGGGAAGTGATGTAAGGTGGAAAGCACAAAGACTTGCCTAAAATAAATTCTCTTAAAGTTGCTTTGGGATCAATGACTGTGAGAAAGACCGGGTGGTCCTGCTGATAGCCAATTATTCAGTGCCGATTAGTGGTCGAACTACAGCTCTGAGTTGCAGAACTTTTCTCCACAACCAACTGCATTGCTGAAGTATGTTTAGCTCCCAAAAACATCTATGCTTGAATTAACTGCTCTGTGATATTTTGTTGCGAGGATTATAAATATTATAAAGATTTCTTGTTTTTTCTGATAAGGTAAAATTTAAAGCATATGAATTCTTAATGCTACACTTTATGGTTGAGAAAATGAAGGAAAACACTAGTACTTAAAATATTGAACATGAGACTACTTTTTCTTATTTGAGACATAAGATTCCCATTCAATTGAGCCAAATGAAATCAAATTATTTGATTGAGTTGATTAAATCACTTGATGAAAACCAATACAAAGTAAGATCGAAAATGATGATGCACTTAAGATTACATAACTAAAGCACAATATTACAATAATTGTATGGTTGAAGAATCTGCAGGCGGTCTTGGGGGAGAAGACAAGAATGGCTTGGGTGGGATTTGCAAGGAGTCCAGGCTCCCTTCTAACATTTCCATCACCTTATTTATAGATGGCCGATTTGATGGGTCAGTTTGTATGCACCATAAACCCACTATTATCATCTTCTTGGCTCTTTCATTTTCCTCTTCATTCATAATTCCATGAAGTCCCAAATCCTCATCCAATTCCACACGATTGTATATCCAATGTGGAAAATATATTTCACTGGTATGATCAACTCCAACATCAATATTCTTTCTCCCTCCAACCATCTCTAAAACCATCATTCCATAACTATAGACATTTGACTTGTGAGATATCCCTCCGAAGCTTCTTGAAACTACTTCTGGAGCAATATATCCAATCGTCCCTCTTGCGCCCAACATTGATATGATACCGTCTTTGTTTGGGCATAGTTTAGAAGGACCGAAATCAGCGATCTTTGGGCAGAAGTCTTCATCTAGAAGAATGTTATAAGGCTTCATGTCAAAGTGCAAAATTCTTGTGTTGCAACCCCGGTGTAAGTACTCTAATCCTCGAGCAATGCCAACTGCAATTTGATACAATGTTTCCCACCCTAATTGATGTTTTATTGAGGAACTTTCATCATATATGAACTTCTCAAGAGATCCATTAGGCATGAACTCATAGATGAGAGCTCTTTTGGTGCCCTCAAAACAAAAACCTAGAAGGGTGACAACATTAACATGGGAAGTCCTACTAATGCATACTACCTCATTAGTAAATTCTTCCCCATTACCTTTTGAATCGGTCAAAACCTTCACTGCCACCAAACGTCCATTTTGTAGCTTTCCCTTGTATACACCTCCATATCCTCCTTTACCAAGTTTGTACGCAAAAGAATTAATTGGTCATTTTCTTAACATCTGAATAACTGTATCTTTTTGGGGCAAGGGACCTGTAGTTCTTCAAAAAGATCTCAATCTGTTGATGGTTCTCTCTTTCCTTCTTCCGAAAGATCATGGATATAACTAATGAGCATTTTCTCCTCAAGCAACAGAGTAGGATTAGTGCTACCACCATACAGATGCTGAAACGCCTGTGTTCGATAAAATGAGGTGAAGCCAACTGGCGCATGAATCTTATATATAAAGAGAGAGTTGTATTAAATAGTTTTTCTTCGAAAGAATCAAAACCAATAATAGGTATGCTGATTTTAGTTTAGTGAATGGATTACCTAATGAAACTTTCTTCACCAAGTTATATAAATCATGCATGATCTATTACAAATATCAATTAATTAAGGAGGTATATTACATGATCCTAGTGTTATTGTCAATGTGTACTTTCTTTTTCCTGCAATCACTGTCATACATAACCATATTAATGATGTCACAATTATCATATCGTTAAAGTGGAAAATAAATAAAGAATAGAAGGAAGAATAATGATTTGAGTGTCAAATAGATGGCACTTGATTGCATTAAAATATCTGTTTGATTGATTGAGTTTCATCTTTTGATCTATGTTTTCAGTCATACAATGTATGTTCTCTGCTAAAAAAATATTATTGTTGATGATGAAGATGAGATTCTTTCGTCTGGATGAATTTCTTACATTCCTGGCCTACAAAATAAAAGCAACAGAAGAAGAAAAATAGAAGGAACTCATTGCACCTACCGAACCAAATGAAAGAAAAATTGATCTTTGTAATCTAAGTATGAAGCCAAAATAGTGTAGTTTGCATAATCTTGAAACATTAAGTTAAGCATAGATGATAAATAACAATTAAGTTCTGCCGAGGCAAGGAACCAATTGGTGCGTATTGCGAGTTGTTTTCATTGAATTGATTCAGAAATATTAGTTAATGCAGAAACAGTAGCATATATATATATATATAGAGAGAGAGAGAGAGAGAGAGACGCTCATACCTTTCTTCTTCACAGTACATTGAAAGGTTTGATCAATATTTTGGCACTGGCCTCCTCTACTTTGACAATGAAGACAATCACGGGATATATGCAATTCAATAGGGACAGTTGCAGTCAATATTGAAAATGGGTCATCAGGGTGTGGAGGAGGAGGAGGCCACAATTTTAGTGGCAGCTGAATAGCTGAACATTCATGGAGAAGACTAGCAGGTGGAGGTTCATGATCTGAATATTTGTAGTAAATTGAGTAGCCTTTGCATTTGTTGTAACTAGCATACTCTGTTTGAGGAGTATTGTTGCACTTGAAGAAGGTGAGATTGTGTAAGAAGGTGAAGGTGAAGGAAACGAAAGCAAAGTCGGGAAGAGTTAAATTCTTGAACGTGTCATTACATCTTTTGTGAGATATGTGATCTTCAAGCAGGGGATCATGAATTTCAAGGAATTTGTCACTTGTGCCTTTAACATGATACCAGCGTTGGCTTCCTAGTTGGACCTTTAGAACTGGATGATCACAATCTATCACAATACCGCAATGGCCGTACCTGGTATTTGTGAAAGGGAAGCTGATGGGCCTGTGATTTCCGCATAGGAAGGACTGTGGGCAAATGGGTAGGGTTTTGATATCATCTCCAGTTGAGTAAATAAGCCGTAGATGAGAGAGAAAAATGAAAGCAAAAAGGGAGGCAGTAGCCATTTGAAGTTACAAAATTAAAAATAACCACATCCAAATCTATTGTTTAAAACAAGTTAATTAACTTAATTGTGACGTCCCTTCTTGTTTTTTGTTTATTCACGCCCAGTTTAGCATAAACACTCCTAGTTGACTTGGAAAATGATATGCAAGATTTGCAGAAGCAGACTCAGAGGAGACCCAAGACTTGCATTAGAAATGGGCCTATAAATGCTGGGCCAATGAAGAAGTTTCCTAATCATTTCTCTCGTTGACCAGCACTACAAAGACTTGACTCCACAAACACACAAACACTCTCTCCATTCTAACTTAAGCGAAAGTGCCCAGAAGTGTACATGCAGTAGATATTTAGGTTTGTTTGAAACATCAAAGCAGAAGAGAAGTCTTGTCCGATGTGAGAAACAAGTGGTGATAATAATTTTGTCTTAAAGAAACAAAGGTCTTGTTATGAAAGCAGACACTGAAAATTTTATCTTGTGGGGGTAGTCTTAATTGATTGCCACAAGTAAAGGTAAAGATCATGGTCATGGATGAATACTTGGGACACGTTTTGCACGTTATGTAAATTTCTATTCTCTTCTTATCCTCTTTATTTCTCTTCTTTTTATTTAAATTTATTATTGTAATTTTATGAACTCAATAGGTATAATTTCATACATCACTTTCAAAATAAAAAAGACATACAACTGAATAGAAATATTACCAATCAATATTTAAATTCTTATGTTTGTCAAGTATTTATCTTTCCTATACCATTCATTGATTAGCATATTATTTTGTTTCTTATTAGCCTCTTAATTTGAACAATCTATGCTTGTCAATGTTAGTTATAAATAAGTATTAGTTTCATGGAACATTTCTACTCTCTTTCTCAACTCAGGTGTTTCTATTTTCCTTTTTGGGTTTGGTAAGTCTGATATCTTCTTTTATTTTGCGCTATAAGGATTCTGAAATGACAAAGAAACTAAAGAGAAAGGCTAAACAGAGATCAGCAAATATATATTTTTTATTTTCTTTTATTTTCGCGGGGATTAGACAAAAATCTAAAAGTTTATTGTGAAAGGAAAAAACTACAATTTGTAGTAGTTTTTACCAACATTGCAATGTTGTTGACCAGAGAAGAAGCAAGCAATACCAGTGTTATAATAACCATCACTCATTTCCCACTCAGAGAAACAAAATCCACACCATTCCAATGTGATTATAATAACTTCCCTACAATCTGATATTACTCACAAGGCATTGCAATGTGGTTGGAGTCTATTCCAGTGTCTAAAACAGCGTCTTCCTTTCTCTTGATTGATTCATTAACTTTGCACACGCTGCATTCAAAAGCGATGCAGATGTATAAGCCTCAAACATAAGATTTTCTAATAGAAAATGGATGTCATTGTCATAAAAAATAGAAAAAGGCCAAAAATATATATTCAATTCGATGAGAATTTGATATCCTAAACTATCTTGCGCAATCCCATAGTAATTTCTCCTTTTGCTAATAGATGATCAAATATATGCTAATATTCCATCTATCTGAATGAATATAACAACTATGTATGTTCATGAAATATATATCAGCTAACAGAACATTAATACATATATATATATATATATATATATATATGAATGTTTGTAGTGGGCCACTTTGTGGAATGAATTTCTAGTAGAAGCAAAATGGTTTGTTTCTGGACACTCACCCAAGGCAGAGGAGTACTTGAAGAATGGGTGTAATGATCTTGATTTTTCCCATTTTTCATTTTTTGGGAATTTTTAATTTTTTGGACTTATTTCTATTTTGTCTTGTTTTGCGTGCCGAACATTGTGGAGTGTGCCGAATGTGTCTTGAGAGTGGTTGGAGCATTTCCATGAGTTTAGAACTCTTGGAAATGCATTGGTTCCCATTTTGACATTTTTTGGTTTTACAGGCCGGAAGGTCTAAGGTGGGACCCGTTACCGGAATTGTTGTGCGCGGAGGTTATGTCACGGGTCCATTGCATTTCATACATTTTTAAATTGTGTATACTTATATTAGGAGTGCACACGGTTCCGGTTCTGACCGGAACCGTTCATGACGGTTCCATGAAAACGGAACCGGAACCAAAACCGTATAGTATGGAACCGAACCGTTCTATGAGAACCGTTAACTGTTTGATTTTTTTATTATAAGCTTGTACTTCAAAAACAATTTTTACCTGGCTGCAAAACAATGAAAACTGTAATGAATTTAAAATAATCAAATTTTCTACCATACATTTTTGCACAAATCAAGCAATTGTTGTATTGAATATCACTTGGTTTTATAAGAACTAAAATCACCATAACAGAGAAAAAATAAAATTAAAAAAAAAAAGAGAGAGAGAGAGAGAGAGAGAGAAGAAGAAGAATGAAAAAAATCTCAAATAAAGGCTTGTCTGATGGAGAAAAAAGAAAAGCAAAAGCAAACAGAATACTCGTTATCGAAGAAAGTTCCAATGATCGACCGAAGAAATCTCTTTTCTGCCTGAACACAGTATATAATCATGCCAATACGAGAGAGAGCAAGAAAGATAAGAGAGAAATTTATAAAAAAAGAGAAAAACTGAATATATATATATATACACACACACACACACACACTAACCTACTTGGAAATCAACTACTTGTAACCATGAAGGAGGGTGGTGAGATCTGGGTAGCCACCACCGCCACCGTGAGAGGTCAGACTTCAGAGGGGGCGAGGGTTAGCTTAGGGTTCGTCACTTCGTCTGTTAGAACTTTAGATGAGAGATTGAGAGGAGACGACGACTGAGAGAGTGAGAGATTTAGGGCAAAAAACTAAAAAAATAGGTTTTTTTGCACGTGTTTATGGTCTAGCGACTCAGCCCAGTTTATCTTTACTTCTTTTTTAATATAAAATTAAATATATAATGTAATGTTTCCAATTTTTACCATTTTCTGAAATTTTCTGAATTTTTTTTAGGACGATTTTGTCTTTTTTCGTTTTGCGTACCGGACACTGTGGGGTGTGCTGGGTGTGTCCGAGACTTGGTTGGAGCATTTCTTCGAGTCTAGGACTCTTAGAAATGTATTGTTGGCCATTTCTGCATTTTTTAATTTTTCTAGCGGGGAGGTCCTGGGCGGGACCCGCAACCAGGTATTGTTGTGCACAGGAATTATTTTTTTCGGGGCTGTTATTTTTCATACATTATTTTATGATGTATATTTATGTGGTTATATATTTGAAAATATGTGGTTGTGAAGTATTTAGTGTGTGTATATATGTTTATATATAAAAAGAGTAAAAAGAAGATTTTTTTTTTGGTGGGCCCCACATGATATACACATATATCATATGTCACTTGGCCTTTCTTTTTAGCCATAAATCTCTCTTTCTCACGCAGCTCTCTCTCTCTCCTCTCATTTCCTTTTCATTTTTCTTTTTTCTTGAGGCTTCGATTTTCTCTTCCGTTTTTCGGCTAATCGGTTAGGTTTCTGGTCTTAGTTCCATAACGGAAAACGTTCCTCTCGTTGTTCTTTATTACATAGTCAAATGATTTAATTTTTGGAGGAGCGGTGATTATTTTGCGAATTTTTGAAATTTTCCGATCTAAGGCTTCAGATGGGGTTTTAGCCCACTTAGAGTCGGATTCTGGAGCTGACCCTTTGGAACAGTAGAATCTCCTCATCGACGGCTATGTTCCCACCGAACAGTTTTCTATTCCGCAGCCATTGACGGGCGTTGACTTTTGTTGACCGGCATTGACCGCGTTGACCGGCGTGACTTTTTCGGCCGGGGTTGTATTTTGGCTACTTTTGAGGTAAAAGTGCTCTAATTCACAATTTCTTAGGATCTATGTGAATTTTCCTTCTTAAATTGACTATAAGCATGTTTAATTGCAATTATTTTGACTATGTGATTGTGGTGGATGTATGTTATGTGATAAATGATTTTGTAAATTTAGTTACATCCTTATAGTGAAGAAGCATGCTTAGAAATGACAAGTTGTTTACTTTATGTATTTCAATTGCTATGGAAATTTGATGTTATAATCGTAGAAATAAATGTTTAAAATATTCTTTTACAAGTTGTGATTATGATATGGGTAAGATGTATGGAATATAGTTATTGAATTTAGCATTTGGAATCATGAAGCATTTATGCATCCATTGGGAAAGAAAAATGGGAAAAGTATATTTTTTTTAAACTAATGAAATTGTTTTGGGAAAAAGTTTTTGAAAAGTGTTTGTGAAAACCCAGACGCCTATGAGGCGCCTAATGGTCCATGGTGTTAGTGTAGTCTAGAGAAGGGACTAGTGTGGTTGAGCTAACCACGTCGGATGCAACGCCTTGGAGGTGCCTTGTGGTCGTGGATGGTTAGCCAATCTCCCTTTCGTGACGCCTTGGAGGTGCCTTGGGTTAGATTACACTAACGGTTTGGAAGTTAAAACGGTATAGTTTCGGAAACGGGGAGTGACATTGCATGGCATGACATATCATTGGCATACGTGGTGCATTTGGTAATTGGTTGAGATATGTATGTTTGTTGATGATACAGTGGTTTTACTTGACTCCCAAGATATGATCATGTTCTCTTACTTTCTATTCTCTATGTGGATTCACGGGGTCATAAAAGGTGTGTCTTAGACACTTCCTACTGAGCGTTTAGCTCACCCCATCATTTTAACAATTTTTTCAGGTCACGGGAAGGAAGTGGCGAACAACGTTCCTCCACAGGTTTTGATGGGTTAGTAAACTGTTTGACATATTTTGTAGCTATGATCTCATTTTACTATTATTATTATTATTACTATTATTTATAAACCCTGGGATGACACGCATATTATGTGTTGATATAAGAAAGGACGGTAACGTTTTTAGTTAACCTCGGGTTCAGGTAAAGACACGGTTAGCTATTCGGACCCTCGGGTTTGGGTCGTTACATATAACACATATATATACAATATATATATATATATATATATATATATATATATATATATATATATATATATATATATATATATAT